CCACAAAGAAAAATAAACGAAGGACATGCAAACATTGTTTCAGAGTATGTTTAATGTGTTAGGATGCTGTGGAATTTCCACTACAGTGTCATACATAGAAACGCCAATCATTATGATGATATTTCTTTCTGGCTGTTAGACAAATAAGTAAGACGTTTTTTAATCCAAGGAAGGAAAAAGGTGGGTGGCAGAAATGGTAAATACAAATCATTTTGAAGTATAACGAAATATATACATTCAACATCAGCTTTGACAAGTTCATCCCTGGCCACTGCTGCAGATAACAGAGAAGGAGGTTCTTCATCTTGTTACAAGAAACACTGCAATATGCTACAAAGGCTGGCTCAATACATAAGGAGTCAGGAAGGAGCTTCTTGAATATCTTCTTTCTAACACAGATCCCACCAATTCCTTCCACAAAAGGAGGCAAAAAATCCAAAGGATAGGATACTCCTATCTGTTACAATCATCAAACAATAGTGAAAAAATCAAACAATGGAAGGAAAAAAATATCCATACAGAAAAAATAAAAGCTATTTTTATCTTAGAACGTAATGAATTAGAACTTTCAAGATGGGGGTATAAAAATACAGAGAAATAATTAGACCTTTATTATATAAAAAAAAAACTGAAGGGACTATGACTACATATACAAAGACTACTAGGAATGCTACCATTTGCAAAACCAAGAAAAAGGATCTACTGAAGGCAAAAGGAAAAGCAGTTAAAATCAAACAACTGTGACACATGACTTCTTAAATTTTGTTCTGGTACATAAAATGGAATAAAAGAACAAAGTACTTTCTGTGTTCCAAGCGTATTATAACGATACTGCACTTACTAAATGAAAGTTGTCTAAACAATGATGGACAACAAAACTCAACTGCCATACAAGCAGCTACTCCTTTGAGTCCCTCCTGTCTGAATCTTATTCCTGGATGCCAAGGTTCCCCTACTGATGAAGCATCAGTTTTACGTCCATTCTTTTCCCCTGTTAGCATCCATTATTAGGTATTAAAAAGGAAGTCCTTATATATGTTAAGCTATTCATCACCATTCTATACTAAATTTCCTAAAAAAAAACAACATGCACATACACATTTCCACTAAAGATGACACTAACAAGACACAAACTGAGTAGGGTCTCTATTTGTTATTCTTCGTCCTCCTATTTCCCCCCTTCAACATTGTCCATGTATATAAGTGTTTTAGACCATAGACTCCACCCTCTTGCACATCTGCAAGCATCTCACACCAAACATCCAGTTTTATTAAAAATAAGAGATGTAGACAGTATTGGAGAGGTTAAGTACAGCATATGTATTCAATAGCTGTACATAATAACATTGAAAACCTTTAACTGTTTGATAAGATTCCAGTGTTGTGCTTTTTATGAAATGCAAAAAAAAAAAAAAAAAAAAAACCAAAACACCAAAACAAACAAAACCCACCATGGGCCAAAAGCATCACTCTCAATTACTACTCAGACAGAAAAAGAATACGATATCCTAGAAGGCATACAAAGAACTGCCCAGGAACAAAGTGCTGGCAGAGTCTTCTCATACCTACAAAAAATGCACCAATGCAGGAAACGGTGGACACCGTAATAGTTTCCCATCGTACAGGCCACCTACTGTGAACTTCTGAGATCCCTGAAGAATTATATCTGTAAGAAGACGTATCATAGGCACACAGAATACAGAGACACAACCTCTCAGATTCTTGTGATAACTCCACTGAAATACAGGGTATTATTCAACTGAGTAGTAACTTCTGGACTAAGCACAGGTTTTCCATAGCTTGTTTTAAAATAGTCAGCTACAGTGTTTAAATGAGTATCAAACCATTTTCATTTGGTCCACTCAAAAAAAAAAAAAATGGTGATTAACTTCACAAGTCCATAAACCACCTTGTATCTCTTTATTATTACAAAAGAAATAAAATTTGCAAACAGCCCTGTTGTTATTCACAGTCAAACTCTAGCAGCTACCAAATGGTAAAACTGATAAATTACCTGGTGAAATTACTGAACATATTCAAAGATGCCCTGTTGCCACTACTATCACCAGAACTTACGTGAAAAATTAAACAAAATTAGGCTCTAGATATGCAGTGTAGTCTTCAAACACTGCCCCATATGTGTCTAGTCCTAATTAAGTTAATGAAACTACTCAAGTAGAGAGGTCAATATTAGGTTTCATTCCAGGAGTGGAGTTTTAACCTGTAAGAAGCATACATTGCTAAGGAGTAATGCACCACAAACTCACAATAACCAGAATGCCTTGTGTCACGATCCAATTTCTTAGTGGAATGCAAATGATAAAGTACTGTGTTAAATACTTAAGAAATGTTGTTGAAATGGTTAGCTGGTAAAATCTGCCGTAGTTCTGAAGTAGTCAAATAAATGTCAGAGAAAAGGAGGCTGGATCAAATTATGCCTACATACAAGTAACAAAGCTTACTGAAGATTAGATTAGATTTAATTTACTATGAATTTATGTATTGCAGATCCTTTTAAAAGGTGGGACAGGAAGGCAAATTAGCACATTTTTAAGAAGCAGCAATTATTTCTGTTATGAGCGGGTTAGTTCAGGAATTTGACATAAAGAGTTTCAAACATAAATTATAATACTTAAGTAATTCATAGGTGATTTACTAAGTGTGATGGAGTCTTCGTAACATGACACTCCATCACACCAATGCCAACTCCTACAGAAATGGCAAATCATTTTTTTTAAGTGCAAATTACACAGTGGGTGGATAAGAGAAATGCAAACTGCAAAATCCTACACTAAATAAAAACATATATAAACAAGGTGACAGCCTGGTTAAGTGCTCCTCTTTAAAGACCAATCAAGTAATAATCCCATTTTCTTTCCTGAACATGCTCATTTGAAATAAGGAAGTTGGTGACAAAAGGAAACCCAAAATGAGATTTCAAGTGTACTTTTTACAAAGTAACATTTATTAGCTAGTAACTTGAATTTCTACAACACACTTCAACTTTCAGAGAGAAACTGCAGCCAACTATGCAGAAACTCAACTAAAGAAACCTAAGACAGACCAAAATACATCTATTTATTCAGTTAAATTCTACCGACATTGGTAACATCTTCATTCAAACGTTTTTGCAATGACTCAGTATTTAAACATCACTATGTATAACAAGCTTCTTCCTGATTTGAAGAAACAGAGCATCGCTAGGCCTAGCCATCCCTGTCAGTGGTATTCTCATTACATCATAATAACAAAAGGAAATAGTTTTCATAGAAACAAAATAGTATTTTACCTATCTTCAAATTTTTATATTTTGTATAAAATGTCAAATGTCAAGCATTACAAGCCTAGTGACAGCATCACGATTCCCAGGCAGGCAGGACCTAGAAATAGCATGGAGGTGGCAGTACGCTCAGCCCAGGCTGAGAGGGATGAGGAGTGCTTCATGTCACCATCAAGGGACTCCTCCAGGCAATTTAAAAAGCAGCACTGAGAGATTTGCATCTAACCCTCCACAGCTAAGGGGAGGATTTCTGTGTTATAATGCTAGATGGGCACGTGCAAGTGAGAAGGGGGCTCAGAGTACTCTAACAGCCAGAGACACCCTAAAAAAAAAAAAAAAAAAAAAAAAAACAAACATGAAAACTGATAGTTGAAAGGATTTAAAGTCAGAGGCAGTAGTCTCCTCATCCCCCTCTTCATCCAGGGAGCAAAATTCACTTAATTTGAGAAAGGCTGGGGGTGGGAAAGAAAGAAAGAAAAAGAAAAAAAAAAAAAAAAGGTGTTTGATTTTGATTGTCCTCTATATCTTACTGCTCCTGCTTTTTTGGCAGAATTCACTCATTTTGACTGCAGTACAAAAGCTGTGAAGGAAACACCGAAAGTAAGCAACTAATGGATACCATTATTTCAATAGCCCATTTGTCATACACATGCATCATTAATTGTATATCGATGGCTGAAACAAGGGCTACTCGATTTTATTGTTATCACTATTGGGGCAGGTTTTACTCTCAAAACAGAACTTCATCCTTAAAGAAAGGAAAAAAAAAAAAAAGAAAGCATGGGCAAGTCTGCTGCTTTTAGAAAAAAAGTACCTTTAAATGTGAACAATAGTGGAGAAATATGTAAATATTCTGCCATAAGAATAAAGAACTAATGAATCAAACCGCAGCCACAACTTTTTTTTTTTTTTCCAATTATGTGATTTACGGAAATATATACAAATGGAGAAAGTCGTGCTGAACAGAAAGATTACCTAGCAGACCCGATTCACCCTCATGCCTTGCTATACCTTCCTATTTTAAATGTACCCAGCCGAGTATCCAATACAGGCTGAAGTACAGTCCGCCATAAGAAGTACTAGGAGTGCCCTTGAAAAATGTCCAGATTGCAGCTAGTGCACAAAGGACCTCGTTATGTAAATAAATGCATGAGAATTTCTATCTCACTATTGACCTGGCAGCAAGTGAAGAGATTAACTTCCCATCAACATCGTAAGACAAAGCGTCGGTAAGAAACAAGCGAAGTTTCAGAGAAGAAAAGGAAGAAGGCTGAGACTAAATTTCAGCTGGTTTAGAAAAAGGAGGAAAAAAAATGAAAAAACGGCTCGTTTAAATCATTCTGACTGTTCTACTTCACATTTCTCTTTCCCTCAAAAACGCTGGGCAGAGCAGAACAGCAATGCTACACGAAGTAAGCAAGAGCAATCAGATATTAACTGCCATAGGTAAGAGAAAGCAGACATCCCCCCTTGCCTTGCTACACCGACGGCGACGCTGCAGATTTCCCACTCGCTACCAAAAAGCAAAGCAGAACTAGCATCTGGGGCGGGGGGGACTATTAACTGGGAACTTTTTGTTCCTTAAATATGTAACCGAGACCTTTTTTTTTTTTTTTCCCCTTCTTCCCACGCCCCTCTTGTTTCCATCTTCTCTGCCAAAACAGGCCGAAATAAACGTTATTCCATAATAATGCCATTAAATACTAAGTATGAGACTTACCATATCAGCTGGAACGCTGCTAGACATCTTGATGTTACCCTAAATGGCTTAAAATCAACTTAAAAAAAATAATAATAATAATTAAAAAAAAAAAAAAAAAGCACCAAAAGCAGCCCGCCGGAGATCTTCAAGAAGCAAAACTGTTGTCAACGTCGGAGGCGGCAACTTCCACGTCCCCTACGAAAAAAAGGTGCCCGATGTGCAGCGGGAAGGCGGCCGGCTGAGGAGAAATATCCAGGGGCAAGCGGTGCCGGGGCTGTACCGGAGGAGCCAGCGGGAGACCAGAGATGGCAGCAGATCCCTGTCAGCGGCAGCAGCACCAGCGGTGCCAGGTAGACCAGGCAGGACTACACCGCCACATGAGCTGCGGGCGGGCTTTTTTCCCCCCCTCTCTCCCTCTTCCTTCTCTCCCAGCCTTGACAAGTGACGACGGGATGATTCACGGGATAATGGTGCGTCCAAGTCACCTCCTCAAGTCAGCGCAGGCGACCCGGGCGCGCAGGCAGGCAGGCAGCTCCTGCCCGCGGCGGCGGGGCAGGGAGGCGGGAGGGCCGGGGTGGGCCCGGGGCCGCTGGGGAGGACGCCGGGCTTCAGCCCCCCCCCCTAAGCGGTGTGCGACATTCAACAGGGTCTGGCGGGGAGAGGGGCCGGGGAGGGCTGCCTGAGGGGCGGCCGGAGGGGAAAGCCCTCCCCCGCGGCGCTCCGGCGGCGACGGCACTCGGCGGGGGCCGGGGGGGCGTTCAACGGCGGCCGCCTACCGCAGCCTCAGGTCTCCGCTCGCATCGCCGCCGCCGCCGCCTCCTCCTCCTCCTCCTCAGCCCTCCCTCCCTCCCCCCGCCTCGTCCTCCGGCGGCTCCGGGCGCTTCCCCCGCTGCCTCGCCCCGCTGCGAGCCGGAGGTTTCGGTCCCTCAGCGCGATCCTCGCCCGCAGCCGCCCCCTGTCATCTTCGCCTCAAACCAACATGGCGCCTGCCTGAACCGAGGCAGGGGACACGGCCGGGCAGAGACGGACCCCCCCGCCCCCGCCCCCGCCCCCGCCTCCGCCTCCCCCCCCTCCCGCCGCGTCACGCGCAGCCGCCCCGCGCGGCACTATGGGGATTGTAGGCTGCTGAGGGCGGAGGGGGCGGGGCCAGCCTGGCCCCGCCCCGCCGCGCCGCAGCAACCGTTGCTACGGGCGGGAAAGCGGCGGGGCGGGGCCTTCCCCCCCCACCGCCCGGGGGCCCCTCGCCCCCGCCCCGCGTTCGCCCCTGAGGGGTGGCGGGAGCACCGTGGGGTTCCCGGGGCACCCCCCCCCCCCCCGAAACACACGCACACAGGACACCCCCCCCCCACCGCCACCTGGGCAAACGCCACGTGAAATCGTCGTTTCCACAAGGCTGCAGCTTCCTCAGGGCGTGTGGGGCTCCCCTTGCTGCCCCTTCTCCGTGGATCCCCTTCCCAGCCTGTGGGGCTGGGCTCTACCCTTGGTCCGCTTCCAAAAATATGAAATAAAAATTTTTTTTTTTTTTTTTTGCACCCCAGATCCACAGGTCTGGGCCTGTACATCATTTCTTTGCATTTCTAATTTCTTACATTAGTTTTCAGAGTTTGAAATATCAAGGTTCTTCTTGTGCATTTGATTGTGGGGTTTTTTTTGTTGTGTTTTGTTTTGTTTGTTTGTTTTTTTTTTTCAAACTGTGTAGTTTTATTAATGAAAAAAGCTTCTGTAAGATTCATGGTGAAAATGATGACTTGGAAGCACCTGGAGGAAGGGCCTTAGCATGTAAAATGCCCCCTTCAGAAGCTGTCCTGCTCCCCAAAGATCTTCGCGTTTGTTATGGATCCACATTGTCTGAAATGGTGTGTGTGTGTGTAGTGGGTATTTTATTCCTTATTTCAGGCTGTTCCTAGATACCAGCATTCAACAAAGAAAGGCTGTCCCTGACAAAAAAGTCATCCCATCTCGAAGACAAAAAAATAATCCTACACAAGGTGCAGATCTATTGAAGAAATGAGTAGGCCTTTTGAGAGGGGTGTGGAGAGATACATTCTTGTGGTGGTGATGTAAAACTGTCCAAGAGAAAAAAAACGATCAAGAAAATCAAGTAGATGGAGCTTGTGACAGATGCAGCCTGGTTCCTTCGGGGACAGCTCTCATGTAAAACCACAGGAAATTAAGACAGAGTTGTTCCCTTTAATACTAAAAGTTTAAGGCTGCCTTTCCTCTTTGGGACTTCATGCAGCAAAGGCAACCCCTGGCAAGACACCATCCCTTGCAGAGGTTATGATTATTTTCTTTATACTCTGCTCCAAAATAGCAAAAAGCTGCCAGTTTCAGAAGATAGATTTGACAGCAGGCAGCCCTGTCTGACACCTGGGAGACGAGTTGGGGGACCGGCAGAAGTGGCCCCACGCACAGGGCTTCTGAGAGCATCCTGTGCCATCACATGTTTTGTGACTTTAGGCACGTCACTCCCTCCCTTTGTCAGCCTAGTTTGATTAGATGATACGTTTTTTGGGAGGCGGTGACTGGGCCACCTCTCACAGGAGGTGAGGCTGAGAGCTGGAGCTGTTTGGATCCAGGCGGAGAGGTCTGGGAGGGATCTCGTCAGTTTAAGTGCCCAGTGGAAGGGAATGAAGAAGAAGGAGCCAGGCTCTTCTCAGTGGTGCCCACTGACAAAACAAGGCAAGGGGGACAAGATTGAAAAACAGTAAATTCAACCTGAATGTGACAAAAGACTTATTTTTGCTGTAAGGGTGACCGAGCACTGGCACAGGTTGCCCAGAGAGGTTGTGGAGCCTCAAAAGTCTGTGGAGATACTCAAAAGCCAACTGGAGACAGTCATGGACAACCTCCACTGACTGACCCTGCCTGAGCAAGGGATCGGACTAGATGACCTTCAGAGGTCCCTCCTACCCCAAATGATGCTGTGACTCTCCCCTGAGAAGTGTTTTTATGGTATCTTACATCATCATTCCCAATTTTAGATGGGCCTTCTAGCCACCAATGGGATAAAAAGGCTTGTTTTTGTAAGAGTAATAGCAAATTGTTGAAGCGTTGCTTACATTTTCTCCAACTGGGTATTTTTGAGGGACGGAGAAAGTGCAAGGGCTCCTCATTCTTCTTTCTTTTTTCTTTTTTCTTAACTTTTATAAAGCATCTAAACACTAATACTCATATATGAGGGTCCAAGGGATGAGCCCTGAAGGATGTCTCTCTCCCAAATAATATGCATTCCTGGGCATGGATGACTTTCTGGTTAAATCAGTGACAGACTGAAGAATTATAAATAGATCTTGCTGAACAGAGTTTAAACTTAGAACATTAGTAATGTGGGTTTTTCCCTGAAAACAAAACAAAACAAAACAAAACAAAACAAAAAAAAACCCCAAACCCTTATATACAACAGCTTAAGTTTAAACAGGCTCCTGAGATCTGTTCCAAGGCCATCCTGCAGAACAACCTCAAGGTCTCAAGGTGATCTCAGGGCAATTTAGGAGGTGGCCTGCCCATGCCCTCCCCACTAGCCCTCTCATAGAAAGGGCAAGAGAATAGGCACCATGACTGCTTTTCAGGCACTGCAGCTCACAGCTGTCTCCTCATGTAAACTGAAATTGGTGGCAACTAAAAATTATGTCCTTGACCGCACTGTGGCAGCTGAGGTGCATGGCCCTTCCCACCTCCTCTGCTACCCCGAGGCAGGACAGACAGTGAGACTTTGTAATCGTTTACAGCTGGAAGGGTGAATTGCCAGAGGTTATATGGAAATACCCTTCGATTAAGCATCAAGAAGTCCATGTGCCCAAGCCAGTCAGGCGAGTAGGGACACCAACAAGCACAAGCAAACTGGATGTGGGGTCAGCAAGGCAAGCAGGCAGCAGGAGGGCACATCTGCTGTGTTGGAGGTGGCTCTTTTAAATTATTTAGGTGGACAAGCTCATCTGTGGCACATAAAGATTAGCACATCCACAGGCCATACGCATAGGAAACAATACAGAAGACATAGAGCCTAAGCCAGCATGAGTCTATGGCTTTTGCTGCTTTCTTTGCCCCTAACAGTCCATTAAAAGGAAGGATCATGCATTTCATGTTGATGAAGCCGTGAGGTCTGAGCGACAGGAGTCAGGGGACTGTTCTTGCCACTTTGTGTACACACTCGTCTCGGTCATCTTTTCTAACCAATGTTATATAAATGAGGCTCAGCTCCTGTCTTCGACACACAACTGTGCCGTCCAAGAGATGGCACGAAGAATTACCTTGATTATTATCTTTATTGTTGTTGTTGTTGTTGTTGTTGTTGTTGTTGTTGTTGTTGTTGTTGTTATTATTATTATTATTATTATTATTATTATTATTATTATTATTATTATTATTATTATTATTATTATTATTATTATTATTGCTACTACTACTACTATGTATTTGAATCTACAATTATGACTGCAGGCCAGAATGCCACTGTATTAGGCACAGCACTGTACAAGCACATATTGGTTTCCATCCTGAAAGGTTCACAGTGCTGGGTTTACCCAACAGGTGACATATCACATTTGAGTGATTTTTTTAGCCCTGGCTTTCAGCTATGATGACCCAACACAAATGAATGGAGGATCCAGCACAACTTGTACCTGCTGGAGATCATTCTAGGTAGTCTGTGTGCTGGGCCAGTGAATAGAAGGAGGTTCTGCATGATGATCCTGGTAGAAGTTGTACTGTGTATGATGATAGGGGTAAATCCCACCGGTTTTATAGAGGTGAGGTCAGGTATTTGAAATGCAGCATGGTCAAATATAAAACAAAAAGATCTTTTCTCCTTGGCATGTATTAAGAAAGGCTGTTATGATAGTATTCATTTCACATTCGCACAGAGAGGAAATGAGAGTTGTGGTCAGCAGTAGCCGGCTGGAACAAGGGACCGTGCAATAGCATAACTGCCGGCTGAGTCTGGGATCAGCTTGCACATAAACCCCGAGCAGGTGCTACAGACATACACATCTGAAAACAAATCTTTCCCACATCCGAGGATCAAGCAAAAAGGGAAGTGCTGTTCGAGAGGAGTGCTAGCAACGTAGGGAGCTAAAAAAGTTATTCTGCTTTTGGGACCTAATCCTGTACTCAGATGCACAAATCTTATTTCCACTAAGTCTCCTTTGCAGAACTGTCATGTGAATTTAGCCATCCAGGTATAAAATCATTCATCATCATTACTTTGGTAATTTATAGGGGAAAATGATGAAGTAAACAACTGATATTTTGCTCCTTATTTGAAAAATATGACATGTCATGAGTAGATAATTAGAATTTTGCCATGCTGTATTCCCTTTCAGAAGAATTGAGCCAGGTATCTGCGAGTAGATTGGGCTGTGGTTTTAGTGTTTCATGGCCATCAGTGCTAGCTGAAACCTGACTCTGTACTGAGACGTGCTTAATAGGAATAAAAGGTCTGTTATTCTAAATCAGATTAGTAGTCCAGCCAATGTGATATCCTGTCTCCAGCAGTGGCCAGCATCAAATGCTTCAGAGAAAGACACACAAACCCCCACAATGGACAATCACGTTATAATCTTCTTATTTGCTAAGTCTCCACTGCTGCCAACGCTGCCGGAGAGGCTGGTTTGTGCCCTGAAGCAAAAAACTTCATGTCCTTTATAGCCATAATGTCAGAATAACCCATCGATAGCATATAAAACCAACTGACATTTTTCAAAAGAGTGGCGCTTTCTCCTGACGGTTATTATTGCTCGTGTTGGAGACCACATCGAACCTATGCTCCAAGACTGACATTAAAAGCTTTCAGTCCTGTCCTGTGCTCCAGCATTTTCCCTTTGAGGCAGGCTGTGAAGAGGAGCATCGTCAGGAGAGGGAACACACCACCATGAAATTTCTTTTAAGGCAAGAACATCCATTGTTTCTGATTTCTCTCCAGATTTTCAGAGCAGCCCGAAAAGGTGAAAGGCTCCTGAGACAAAGGGTTTAATTCTCTAGGGTTTGGCTGTGGGACAGATCAGGATTCTTTCCTTCTCTGGCAGC